GGAGTAGGCACCTACTTTGACAAGACACTCTTCCAGACACTAGAGATACTGCCATGAAAAAGGTAGACAAGGTCTCTGCATTAAACATGCTAACTTTTGATCAAAGGAGACAATCTAGATAATTTTGGAGCGTCACTTGCTTTGATAAACGTAAAAAGAGCTAAGTGATGAGTGGTTAGGAGCTGCTTTATCGAGGACGGTCTGGGAAGGTCTGAGTGCAGGTGCAGGGATGCTGCTGGGAGGGTTTCGCTTCCTCCACACTCAGCAGATAATCGGGAGTAGTAGCAGTCAGGAAGTACGGGCACAACATGGAGGTGAAAGTGCTGGGCCCGGGGTCCCAGGAAACACTGATTCCTCCTTCCTTGGCGGGGAGGTCTGGGAAAGCAGCCAGGACCAGAATCTTAGAGACTCCAGTGGGTGGTGCTAGGGTGGAGGTCATATGCTGAAGTGCTAGAGAGAATGTCCAAATGGGTCAGCCAAGTGGGGAGGGTCTCAGCGATCAGAAAAGAACCAACATATAGGGCAGCATATATAAAACATAATATGAAAAAAAAGGATGTGTAAAGGCAGTCGGAAATAAGAACTGAGAGTGGGGGCCTTCGCTCACTGCTGACATTTTTATTTACTCAGAAACCTTTTCTTTGGATTGGCAAAATCCAGTTAAGGTACCAAATGGACCAGGCAAGGGCTTAGTACTAGACTGGGAAAAAGTGTGAGGAATAGTGTCCTGTCATCTTTTACTAATTTAAAAGCAATGTTCTTTTTTTTTTTTGGGTTAATGATTATGTCCAAACATACAATTTACTAAATTATAAGATATTTCTTTCACCTCTTCCTTTTCTGAGCCCTTCTCCAGTCTTAGGTGAGTTTATGATGAACTTTCAACAAAAATCCAAGTTTTGTAAATGTCAAAGAATTATATATTTTGGAAGGATGTAAAAGGTATTAAATAAGATGTTTGCTTAGTATTTTGACTAATTTACGCAGAAAAATTTGTGACTTATGGCTTGAAAGAATTAAAAGAAGCTAATGAATGATATTTTAAAACTACTGGAATTTTAGGATGTCATAGAAAGTAAACTTTGTCCAAATATTGTTTTTAACAAAGTTTATTACGTAAATAGATCATCAGCTTGCTCTGTAACATCGGGTTAAGTGGCATGATAAGGTATGTGCATGCTTTTGTCTGTCTCAGGCATTTAACTAGAGGGCAAGGGCTTGGGTGTATTAATTTCGCCCCAGTATGTGTATCCCCATAGCCAACACAGTGTCACACGCATTGTAGACAGTCAGATATTTGTTGATGGGAAGGAAACCTCATTAACCAGAGTGCTGGAATATCAGAAGGTTCCATTTCCTTACCACACTGGAAAGCAAGAGGTTCTCTGTGTTAGCTTTGACTTTTTACTTCACTTGAGACTAGATTTAGTGAGAGATCACTGTGTCCTGCCTATCTATTTCCATGAGCCAATCCACCCAAGCTGTCCCCCAGGGATTAGCAGCCATTTTGCCAAGATTCTGATTATATTTGTCTGGCGTGTTGGTGATGTAACTCCCCCTGTACAGGGTACAAGTAGGGATGTGATAATTCTATTTCTTAGTTTATGGTGTGTTATCAGCGTTAGTCTGTGCAATACTCCTTTCTTGTTTCCTTCATTTATTCATTCATTCATTCACTCATTCACTTTTTTTCCTCTTCATCATTCCCATTCCCTTAGGAAAACACTATCATATACTTTATGTGAGTTTAAATTTGTATGCATCCTTGGCCAATGGTATAAAATTGTTTTGAATGTGTGTATTTTTTAGTTTACATACATTATAGACTTTGTTGCTTTTTTACTCTATTTTTAAAACTTTTTGTTTTAAAATAATTTTAATCTGACAGAAAAGTTTTAAGAATGGTGCAAACAGCAATCATATACCCTTTGCCCAGACTCTGCTTTCTCTCTCTCTACATAATGTGTGTGTTTACATATGTATGTTGTACTCAGATACACACATTGTTATTTTGAGCCCTTTGAGAGCATGTTGCAAACATCATGACCTTCTACCCTTAAATACTTCAGTGCATATTTCCTAGGAAAAAGACATTCACTTAAATACACACCACCCAGTTCTCACAATCAGGAAGTTGAACGTCAACGCAATACTATTATGTAATCGACAGTTCCTATTCAAATTTCACCAATTTTCCCACTAATGTCCTTTATGGAATTTTTTTTCCTGCCCCAAGATCCAATCCAAGATCCTGTCTTGCATTTAGCTTTTATGTCCCTTTGGTCTCTTTTAATCTGCACCTGTTCCTCAGTCTGTCTGTATTTTTCATGACATTGACATTTGAAAGAGCACAGGCAGTTATTTTCTAGAATGTCCCTTAAATTGTCGCATATTTTCTCATGATAAGATTTCCTCTGTGTGGGTTTTTATCTTTTAGTACTGTGTTTTTAAGCTCTCTTCATTTTGCTATGTCTGTTTCCAGTTTGTTGATTCTGCCTGCTGCATGGAATTCTCGAGCAAGGGCTGCCTCGTGGCGTGAATTGGCAGGGCTGCCAGGAAGGCAGCAGCCAGCAGACTTTCTTTGGCCCCGGGAGGGGATCCTGACAGGGACTATGTGACCCTGGAAATCAGCACACCCCTTTCACCCGGGCGCTGTGGGCGCTGCTTTAGCTGATAGTGGCCTCAGATGTTTGCTTCCTCAACTATTTTTAAGGCACAACGAGTTGCTATGCTTGTGGAAGATAAGGCCGGATAGGAAGTTGATCTTTTAGATTATTCCTTCCTTCTGTCCTTCCTTCATGCACTTAATAAACCTCGATTAGGAGCCTATTCTGCTCATTGAAGCTCACTTTCTAGCATATTGAAAACCAAAAAGAAAATGTTTGAATTGAAAGCTCTTCTTACCCTGATAGACGCAAATGTTTTAAGATGAGGGTTAAGATAAATAGTTTGATGCTTTCAATTTATTAGTAAAACAACCTCATAGAAAATTATGCTTCTTCCTCTTCACCTAAATACGGTGATTTCTGTTTCTCTCTGCCCTCCTCTGAAATTCACCAACATCGAACAAAATTTTTGTATTGTTATCTCCATAGTTCATAAATAATTTTGTATTCCACTTTCCTCCAGTGAAAGTTATTTTGTATATACTTTCCCATATTTTATAACCTGCATATTTATCACTCCTAATCACTGTAGTAAAGTCTGTCAAGTTGATCTACTATAACGTATGTATTTCTCTTTTGTTGTAAATTTGGCTTGTTTCTAGGTTTTCGCTATGAGAAAAAAACCTTTTTTTAAGGAAATATATAGCATGTTCTTCTGTTAAAGTGGTTTTGAGAAGTTGTTTCATCTAAAATGGTTCATTCTAACATACAAAAACGGTTGAATTCCTGTGGAGAAAACACAGCCTGTCTTTTTTAGGGAAACTTATTTTTCCTTGCTTACGTTTTCAGCCTCCATTTATAATGGAAAGATAATTAGTAGAGAAGGACCTGATGTATTTAAAGCTTTGTCAGTTGAATGCCTTGCATGTATTGTTAGGAAAGAGCGTGTTTCCAGCGGAGAATAGGAGAGTAATGGACGATGTGGCTAAGATCTAAGGCTGCAGCCTGACAGCTCCCAACTGCAGCAGCCCCGCAGTCATTCACTTGCCTTGACACAACTGAACAATCTTTCAGTTCGTCCACGCCTTCCCTCTGAGAGCCGCTGGAGGAATACATCACCCTCGGGCAGGAGGCGATCAGCTGCAGCCCAGCGGGGAGACTGATTAGCTGTTAGACCTCTGGACCGGCCTGGGGCTGACTCCTCCCGCAGCCTCTCTGGCCGAGGACTGCGGAGGGCAAGTCGTGGACAGGCCCATCATGAGGAACTGAAATTCACAGACGGTCCCTATATCTCATCCCTCTCCGAACCTTCTCAGCATCTTAGGACAAGTTCAAATCTCAGGCAAGCTCTTCCTTCTGCTTCTCAGCACTCAAGCGCTGGGAGGTACTTGCCAAGAGTGAGAGGGGGGCTTGTGATCAGCTGGGGTTGCATGGACTGTTTATAAAGACAGCACAGCAAGATTTGTGACTGACTAACTGGGGCTTGGTAGGGCAGAACAATTGAGACAATTCAGTTGTTCAGTGGGTTCTGTAGGTACCTTCAAAGATCCTGGGGCTGTTGCCTCCTCTGTATTAGTTTATGTCCTTATGCGTCATATGAAGATTCTCTTCATGTACAGAATTTTGTCTTACTTCTGCTCCGTGAGGGCAGACTGTGTGTATCTGGTTTATCGCTCTGTCTCCTATTGCCTTGTGTGGAGCTTGGGGCATAGAAAGTGCTCCGTGCATATGTCTCAATTGGATGATGACTTCAGTAACTTGATATTATAGTCGAAGCACATTGTTATCTGGGCAGCTGCTACTCACTTGTTTAAAGGGTGCTAGCAGGTTACTGTAGAAATGAGTAGCATCTAATTAAACCAAAGCCAGGGAGTGGTAGAAGGCAAAGAGAAGTGCGTGGGCTTTGGAGCCAGGCAGATGGGAGTTCTCACCCCCACGCTGTGACTCTGACTGTCTTCACCTGGTTGACCCATTTATGTCCTCTGAACCTCAGCTTCTCACCCGTAATGTGGATAAAACCACTGTACTCACAGAGGTTGTGTCAAGTTCATTGCTTAGAATAGACACTCAAAAATGTTACCCTCTTTCTCTTTCCCCTCCCAAAACCACTGTACTCACAGAGTTTGTGTCAAGTTCGTTGCTTAGAGTAGACACCCAAAAATGTTACCCTCTTCCTCTTTCCCCTGGGCCAGGAAGGGCCCAGATAATGTGTCCAAGTCTTGTCAAGAAACAGATCTCCACAATCATGTTACCTGTCATTTAAACTGTGCCACATTAAGCTGGCTCCATCTCTCCGAACCAGTAGCTAATGCCATGAGTACTTCAAACAGCATGTGTAACTTTGGGTCCTGCCTTGAGCCTCCCCATTGATAACTGTGTTCTTTGCCCCTACAGGATTTATGAACGTGTGATAGACCCTCCTGAGACCAACCTTCCCCCAGGAAGCAATTTATGGCTGGGTCAGCGCAACCAAAAGCATGGCTTATTCAAAGTAAGCAATATTTTCTGCTTTCACCACATGCTCCTCTATGTGTTTGATATGAATTAAATCATTTAATTGTCATAGTAATTCTATGAAGTAGGTGCTTTGAAACTAGGCAGAGAGTTAAGTGACTTGGTCACACGGTTCACTCTACTGCCAGGTATGGATGATGCAGAATGTAAATGATCCTCAAAATGTTTCTCATTAACCTAATTCTGGGAGACTAAAGATAATCTTCACATTCGTTTCCATTCTCAGAATATATGTTAAATCAGTTTGGGGTGAATATCTACATATGCAATGGGAAACAAATCTCAACTTGAATGAGCTTTGGTTTTCTTGTCTATAAAGAGGGTACGACAATAACTGAATTATTATACTTCATAGAAACATGAGGAGACAGTGATAAAATGAGTTGAACATGATAAACACATCATGAAATTTTAAGATAGTCTTGTTCTTCAATACAATGGTAGACTTTTGCTTCTGGCAATACGGTAGACTAAATATTTAAAAAATCCTCCTGCTTCAAAATGCCTATAAATGCTGGATAAAACAGAATAAAAATCTTTTAAGAGTCGCCATTGCACTTACAAGAAGGGAGATCCCTGGAGGCCAAATATATGGCGGGAAGTGAAAACCAGTGGGGTGTCCGCCAGTGCCAGGAATTCAGGGACTTAAGTTTATTCCTTTTCTATTTATTTATTGCAACTCTATTGAGATATAATTAACATAAAACATTGTGTCGGTTTAAGCTGTACAGTGCGTTGACTGAATACACTTACATATTGCAAAATGATGACCACCATAGTGTTAGCTAACACCTCCGTCATGTCACATAATTACCATTTCTTTTCTGTGGTGAGAACATTTAAGATCTACTCTCTTAGCAATTTTCAAGTATACAATACAGTATTATTAGTTATAATCACCATGCTATACATTAGATCCCTAGGACTTATTTGTATTATAACTGCAAGTTTGTACCCTTTGATCAACATCTCCCCTTTTCCCCTACCCTCCCATCCCCTGGTAACCACCATTCTAGTCTCGGTCTCTATGAGTTTGGCTTTTTTAGATTCCAGATGTAAGTGATACCATACAGTATTTGTCTTTCTCTGTCTGACTGATTTCACTTCACATAATGCCCTCAAGTTCCATTCATGTTGTCTCAAATGGCAGGATTTTCTTCCTGGCATGGCTGAATAATAATCTGAATGGCTTATGGCTGAATAATAATCTGTTGTATATATATATATATATATATGACATCTTCTTTATCCATTCATCTGTTGACAGACACTTAGGTTCTTTTTATATGTTGACTATCAGGAATAATGCTGCAATGAACGTGGGGGTGCAGGTATCTGTTTGAGGTAACGATTTCATTTCCTTTGGATGTCTACCCAGCATAATATGAAGCCACTCAGAAGTGGGATTGCTAGATCATCTGATAGTTCAATTTTTAATTTTTTGAGGAACATTGATACTGCTTTCCATAGTGACTGTACCAATTGACATTTTTATCAACAGTGCACAAGGGTGCCCTTTTCTCCACATACTCGCCCACACTTGTTATTTCTTGTCTTTTTGATGAAAGCCATTTTAACAGGTGTGAGGTGATATCTCATTGTGATATTTTTTTTCTTGCTGAGGAAGATTCGCTCTGAGCTAACATCTGTTGCTAATCCTCCTCCTTTTGCTGAGGAAGAATCACCCTGAGCTAACATCTATTGCCAGTATTCCTCTATTTTGTATGTGAGCTGCCATCACAGCATGACCACTGATAGATGAGTGGTGTAAGTCTGCACCCGGGAACCGAACTTGGGCGGCAGAAGCAGAGTGTGCCGAACTTAACCAGTAGGCTACCAGGGCTGGCCCTCTCATTGTGATTTTGATTTGCATTTCCTTGATGATTAGTGATGTTGAGCACATTTTCATGTATCTGTTGGTCATGTGCGTGTCTTTTTTGGAAAAATATCTATTCAATTTCTCTGCCCATTTTTTTTAAATCGGGTTGTTTGGTTTTTGGCTACTGAGTTATATGAGTTCTTTACATATTTTGGATATTAACCCTGTATCAGATATATGATTTGCAAGTATTTTCTTCCATTCAGTAGGTTGCCTTTTTATTTTGTTGATTGTTTCTTTTGCTGTATGTAAGCATTCTAGTTTGATGTAATCCCACTTATTAATTTTTGCTTTTGTTGCTTATGCTTTTGGTATCATATCCAAAAAATTATTGCCAAGGCCAATGTCAAGGAGCTTTTTCCATATGTTTTTTTCTAGAATTTTTATGGTTTCAAGTCTTATGTTTAAGTCTTTAATTCATTTCAAATTAATTTTTATGAATGTGTAAAATAGAGGTCTGGTTTCATTCTTTTACATGTGAAAAACAATTTTCCCTACACTATTTGTTGAAGAGACTGTCCTTTCCCCATTGAATATTTTGTCAAATATCAGTTGACCATATATATAAGCGTTCATTTTTTTGGGCTCTTGATTCTGTTCCATTGGTCTATGTGTCTATTTTAATGCCAATATCATACTGTTTTGATTAGTACAGCTTCGTAATATAGTTTGAAATCAAACTTTGGCTTTGTTCTTCTTTCTTAAGATTGCTTTGTCTATTTGTGGTCTTTTGCGGTTCCATACAAATTCTAGGATTATTGTTTTCTATTTCTGTGAAAAATGCCATTCAAATTTTGGTAGGGGGTGCATTGAATCTATAGATGGCTTTGGGTAGTATGGACATTTTAACAATATTCTTCTGATCCATGAACATGGGATATCTTTCCCTTTGTTTGTGCCTTCTTCAATTTTTTCATCAAAGTCCTGTAGTTTTCAGTGTACAGATCTTTTACATCCTTGTTTAAATTTATTCCTATTTCATTGTTTTTGATGATATTGTGAATGGGATTGTTTTATTTCTTTTTCTGATATTTCATTGTTAGTGTATAGAAACAAAACTGATTTTTGTATGTTGGTTTTGTATCCTACAACTTTGCTGAATTCATTGATTAGTTTTAAAAGTTTTTCATTGGAATATTTAGGATTTTCTATTTATAGGATCATATCATCTGCAAACAACAATTTTACTTCTTCCTTTCTAATTTGGATGCCTTTTATTTCTTTTTCTTGCCCGATTGTTCTAGGCTAGGACTTTCAGTACTGTGTTGAATAAAAGTGGTGAAAATGGTCACCCTTGTCTTTTTCCTGATCTTAAAGAAAAAGCTTTCAGATTTTCACCATCGAGTATGATGTTAGTTGTGGGCTTGTCATATATGGCCTTTATTATGTTAAAGTATGTTCCTTCTGTGCCCACTTTGTTGAACGTTTTTAACATGAAAGGATGTTATATTTTGTCAAATGCTTTCTCTGCATCTGTTGAGTTGATCATATGATTTTTCCTTTTCATTCTATTAATGTGGAAAATCTACACAGTCATGTAACCATCATCATAATTAAGATAAAGGATCATTCCAAAACCTCCAAAAATTCCCCTGTGCCGCTTTTTATTCAACTCTTCTCATCCTGAACCTCTACCAACCACTGATCTGTTGTCTGGTCCTATAGTTTTGCCTTTCCCAGAATGTTATATAAATCCAATTATATATGTTGAGATTCACCCATGTTGTTGTGTGTATCAGTATTTTATCCTTTTGTTGTTGAGTAGTATTCCAATTCTGTTGTATGGGTGTACCACAATTTATCTATTCCTCATTCATGGACACTTAAACACTGTTTTGAGTTTTGTGCATTTATGAATAAAGCCACTAAAAACATTTGCATACAAGTTTTTGTATGAACAAAAGTTGTCATTTCATTTGGGTAAATGTGTAGGAGTGGGATTGCTGGGCCTTACATTAAGTGTATGTTTAACTTTATAAGAAAATGCCAACATAATTTCCAAAGTGGCTGTACTATTTAGCATTCCCACTAGCAGTATACAAAAATCCCGGTTAGAGCCTTACATTTCAACAGTTTGTGTAGGGATGAGAGGAGTGGGTTAGATGCCATGCAAGATTGGATGTTGGGGCAGAACCTTCTGAAATAAAGTCACAACCCAAAAGACTACACTTCCAGTGGAACGGTAGGCAGAAATAGCTTACTATTTAGCAAAGGGAAGCAATCCAATAACTAGTCTTTCTCTACCTCATCTCCACACAGGAAAAAAATTATAGTTCCCTGATGAGAATTTGAAACCACAGCCCTGACATTGTTCAGGCTTGAAAGTTGGATTTACTTTACCCATGAAATTCAATTAGCTGTCTTAAAGTGGTCTTCGGTTGGGCACCTTGGGATTCCTGATGAAGGAATTACACATTATCTTTGAGGAAAGTCAACTGCAGTGTAGACCTCACAGGATTCCCACAGATTAAGTTCATGCAAATATGATTTTTTAAGCCATCATTAGTGAGAATGGAAAGACCCGATGAACTTCCCAGTTAGCCCTCAAAGGGCTGCAAACATTGGAATTACAAAATAATGAATTTTAAAAATCCCTATGTTTGAAATGTTTAAAGAAACAAAATAACAAGTCAAAAAAATGTGTGATGACTATAGAGGATAAATATGACTAGGGAGATTTGAACCAAAAAACTTCCAGAAATGAAAAACATTGTCATTGAATTGAAAAAAACTCAGAGAACCCACTAAAGGGTAGATTAAACACAGGTGGAGAGAGCATTTGTGAAATGGAAAATATTGTCAAAGTGGTTACCCTAATAGTAGTGCAGAGATAAAGAGGAAAATACGAGAGATTAAAATATATAGAAGATACATGTATATGCAAAAAATATATTTTATTATGCTGTTTATATATGTGGTTAATGTGTGTGTCTATATATACACACATATATATTTGAAAATTCCAGAAGATAATGGAAGAAAGAGGTTATGGGCATCATTAGAAATATGATGGCTAAGAATTTTCTAAAATTGATAAGAGACATCAATTCTCCCTACAGCAAACACAAAGAAATCCAAGTGTATGTTAGATATTGTTG